AAGTGTAAGCGACTTAATGGAACCTAATTGTAAATCAAATGGTAATATTACATGACTTTATTAAGTCCACGAGTATTTTGTATCAGCTTAAACTCTGGCAGTCCTGGAAGTGCTAATATTGGTTATGAAGGAATGTATACATTTCCTCAATTCCTACCCCCTCTTTCACTTTCTTTTCTGCTTCCTCTCCTTCTTCCCCTTCCACTTCCTCTCCTCCTTTCTCTTCCTACATCTTTGCTTCCTCTTTTTCGAACATCTATATTGCTACTACTGTTCTGCTCATCTTCAGAGCTCTTGTTGTCCGTTTCTTCTTGCTCTGGTTCACATTTATACTTTGCAGGTATGTCTTCCTCACTAAATTTTGTTTTGTTATGGCACCGACTCTTTAAACTAACTAAGTATTGTGAGTCTGGCATAGTTTTAAAGTCGGTAGAATAAGATATTTTTTATTAAGAATAACTACAACAGGTAACTAACTAATGGTTTGCAATGTTAAATGTATGATATTATAACATTTATAACACTATCAGCGATTGATCGATCAAATATACATATTTCAGATTAGTGATTGGCAAGTGATCTGCGGACAAAAAGAACTATATTGACCAACTCATATAAAGTTAAGTTACATAATTTAAGGCACAAAGAGCTATGGTTCTAAGGTTTCTAACGAACTATATATGTTGGAGTATTTACTTAGTGACATCAGGAGATATAAAACAATTTTGTTAGCAAATCAAAATTGTAGGCAAATTTGCTGACAATATAGTTTAAGGGATAATATATAAAATAAAATAAAAATTTTATAAATAAATATCATTTCTTTATTTAATTTATATATAATAAGATATACATTAAAAAAGAATAATATCTTTTATACATTAATAATAAGTTTGTCTATATAATTTATTTTAACTAATATTAAAAATAATATTTAAAATAATATTAATATATTAAATATAACTGAATAGCAATTATACTTACTTATTTAAAGAAAAATATAAAAATATAAAAATAAAATAAAAATGAAATGATAACTCTTTCCGCTGATCCCTTTGTCAGCCCCAAAAAACAGACGTTCTCAAAAATAATTTTTATTTTTGATAATAAAGTCTATATACTTTCCTTAAAAACATTACTTCC